ACTGTGGTTCATCACTGAGGGAAGTCAGGGCAAGAACGCGCAAGCAGGGGCTGAAGCAGAAACCATGGGGGAATGTTGCTTACTGTCTCCCTCATAGGCTCTTACTCAGCTTCTTTTCTTACACAACCCCATCTGCCTAGGGATGGTACCACCTACACTGGACTGGACCCTCCTACATCAAGTAGCAATGGAGACAATTCCTCACAAACGTGCCCACAGGCCAATCTGGAGGCAACTCTTCTCTTGAGATTCTGTCTTCACAGGTGACTCAAGGTTGTGTAAGTTGACAATAAAAACTAACCAGGACAAGGTGCTTGCCACGAAGCCTGATGACCTGAATTTGATCCCTGGGATATGGTGGAAGGAAAAAAAACAGCTCTCACCATTTTTACTCTGATCAACACACACACACAGACACACACAGACACACACAGACACACACACACACACACACACACCACACATGTATAATAAACAAAGTATAAGTAAAATTTTAAAATCCCAAAAATAGAATTATCGGCCGGGTGTGGTGGCACATGCCCTTAATCCTAGCACTTGTGAGGCAAAGGCAGGCAGATCTCTGTGAGTGCAAGGCCAGCCTGGTCTACATAGTGAGTTCCAGGGCCGCTGGGGCTACAGGGAGACCCTGTCTCAAAAAGACCAAAAAATAAAAAAATAAAAAATAAAAATAAAGAAAAAAGAGAAAAAAAAGAATTATCATATGACCCAGCCATACCACTTCTGGGCATATTCTTGAAGGATTCTAAGCCAAAGTACTATAGAATTACCTGCACATTTATGTTTATTTCAGCACTATTGCCAAGTTAAAGAGTTATAGGGTCAGTTTAGGAGTTCAACGACAAATGAATGGATGGATGGATGGATGGATGGATGGATGGATGGATGGATGGACGGGTGAAGAAAATGCGGTATATATACATTGTATTACTCACTTTTCTCATTACTGTGATCAAACACTTGACATAGCAACTTAAAGGAGGAAAGGTTGATTTGGGTTCACATTTGAGGGTGCAGTCCCTCGTGGTGGGGGAGGCATGGTGGCAAGAGCATGAGGCAGCTGGTCAGTTTGCATCACAGTTAGGAGAAAGATGAAAGTTGGTCTTTAGCTTGTTTCCACTTCATGTGTATGTAATATGCATGTGTATGTGTTCATGCATGTGTGTGTGCATGCATATGGAGACTAGAAGTTGATGTCGACTGTCTTCCTCTATTGTACTCTGCTAATTTTTTTTTTAATCTTTGTGAGACAGGGTCTCCCTGTAGCCCCAGCTACCCTGGAACTCACTATGTAGACCAGGCTGGCCTTGAACTCAGAGATCTGCCTGCCTCTGCCTCCCAAGTGCTAGGACTAAAGGCTTGTGCCATCACATCCAGCTTCGGCCTTATTTTTTCAAAAAAATTTTTATTTTAGTTTTATGTGTATGAGCCTGCATATGCGTAAGTGTACCCGTGTGGTGCAATGCTCACAGAGGCCAGAAGAAGGCATCAAATTCCTTGGAAATGGAGTTATGGACAGTTGTTAGCTGCCATGTAGGTGCCGGGAATAGAACCCAGGTCCTCTGCAAGAGCGGCCAGTGCTCTTAACCACTGAGTCATCTCTCTAGCCCCCCACCTTATTTTTTGAGACAGGGTCTCTTCACTGAACCTGGCTGGTAAGCTCTTGAGATCTGCCTATCTGTGCCCTCCAGTGATGGGGTTACAGTGCCACACCTGGCTTCTTACATGAGTGCTGGGGATCCAAACTCAGGACCCCATGCTTGTGAAGCTTCCTCTTTTATTCAGCCTGAGACTTCTGCCCATGGAATTGTACTCCCCCAGTTAGGATGGCTCTTCCTGCCTCAGTTAACCTAACCTAGGACCTCTCTCAGGGAATTTCCAGAGATTTGTTTTCTGGGTGGTTGTACAGCCTGTCAAGCTGACAAGCAAAATAACCACATATGTAATGGAGTTTCATTCAGCCGTAAAGAATCGAATTATGCTGGAAGTGCTAGAAAACAGATGTGACTGGAGATCATCATATTAAATGAAATAAGCCAGACACTCAAATACCATGTCTTCCTTCATTTATTTTGTTTGTTTGTTTGTTTGTTTGTTTGTTTTTCTGAGGCAAGATTTTGCTATGTAGCCCTGGCTGGCCTGGAACTTTCTATGTAGACCAGGCTAGCCTTGAACTCACAGAGATTCACCTGCCTCTGCCTCATGAGTGTTAGGATTAAAGGCATGGTGGATATCTACAACTATATATAGATATGCATGTATATATGCATATACATACACACATGTGCATATACATACAGCCAATATAGATATCTATAACTATATATGGATATGCATGTAGCTATGCATATACATACACACATATGTATGAAATGAAGTTGGAAAGGTAATTAAGGGAAGGAAGGAGACTAACAGAAGGTGAAAAGAGAGAGGGGAATAAAGGAAAGGAATGGGAAAGGTGAGTACTGTATACTTCCTGTATAAAACCCAACATCAACCTTCAATGTGTACGCCAATAAAAGAAAATCATCTAAGAGCCCCCTGCTTCCTTACTTATCCAACTTAAACAAAATAAAAACAAGCAAACGAAAATCTATGAAAGATGTGCTCTCTGTCTTCAAGGACATTTAGCATGGTGGAGCCGTGGAGGCAGGCAGGTCTGTGGAGTCAATGTTCCATTAAAGAGCCAAGCGACGAGGGTAGACAACTGCTCAGGACATGATGGAGGCTCGGGGGAGACCATCAGTGAAGGGATTGGGCTTAGTCACATAGAAAGACTGCATAACAGAGGTGATGTTGGTGTTGAGTCATGAAACATGACAAGGTAAGCACCACAGTTGTGGAAGGGGGAATGTGGGTGGTGCTGTGGAAAGTATCTCCCTCATTCAACAAATCTTCATCAAATATCTGGGATGTGCCAGGCTCCAGGATAGGAGCTGTTGCAAACCCTGGCAATATGGGAGTGGTAAGACCCTGCCCCCATCCATGGGAACTTATTCTCCAGGGAAAGAGATAGAATCATAGTACAGTGACCTCAGCTGTACAGGGACTGTGTGCTCAAGGTGTTCCAGAGGGATTCTTTCTCACACATGCACACAGGATAGTAACAGATTTTTTTTTCTCCCTGTAGTTTAACCATAATTTCTTTTCCTTTCCTTCCCCCCATCCCCATTCTTTCCCTTCCTCCTTTCCTTCCTTTTTCTTTTGTAAGGTTTTTTTTTTGGTCTTTTTAAGACAGGGTCTCCCTGTAGCTTCAGTTGGCCTGGAGACTTACAATGTAGACCGGCTGGTCTCAATCTCATAGAGATCTACTTGCTTCTGCCTCTTGAGTGCTAGGATTAAAGGCGTGTTCTACCACACCCAGTCTTTTTTATTTTTTGTAAATTTTTAAAAAGATTCGTTTTTATTTATATTTATGTGACTGTGTGTGTCTATGTGTGTGTATATGCCACATGGATGCAGGTACATATGCAGGCCAGAAGAGGGCATTGGATCCCCTGTAGCTGGAGTTACAGGTGGTTGTGAGCTGCTCAGTGTGGGTCCTGGGGATCAAACTCAGTTTGATGCAATAGCGGAAAATGCTCTTAACCTCTGAGTCATCTCTCCAGCCACACTCTGCCCTATTTTTAGGGCACTATAGATTGAATCCAAGGCCTCGCACAATGCCAGGCAAATGCTCTACCACTAAATTACATTTCTAGCTCTTTTCATATTTTATTTAATTTGAAATCCTCTTGCCTCACATTGTCTGAGTGTTGGACATATAGGCATACACTACTATGCCCAGCCTCAGAGCAAAATATTTTGAATATAAATAATGGGACTCTGGAGTGGACAATTAATTCTTCATTTATAAGTATCCTCATCTTGGAATGCTTCAGAGTGGTGAGTGTACTTACAGCTATGGTGGGCAGCTAAGGGAAATGGAAGCCCAAAAAGATGGAAGAATTTTGGGATGAGAGCAAGAAGACAGGAGCTCGGTAAGGGGAAAACCCAGGAAATATGTTCAAGAAAAATGGTGAAGTTGAAGTGGGTAAGGTACCTGCTACTTAGGAGCGATGTCATAGTTAGCTTCAGTTGTCAACTTGATACAAACTAGAATCACTTGGGAAGAAGGAACTTCGAGGCATTTCTTCCATCAGATTAGCCCATGGGCATGTCTATGAGGGATTGTCTTGATTGCTAATTGATGCAGGAAGGGCCCAGCTCACTGTGAGTGGTGCCATCCCTAGGCAGGTGGGCCTGGGTTGTGTAGGAAAGCTAGCTGAGACTAAGCCTGAAAGCAAGCCCCTAAGTAGTGCACCTCTGTCACCTCTGCTTCAGTTCCTGCCTCCAGATTCTTCTTTGAGTTCCTGCTTTGGTGTCCCTTCATGATGGACTGTAAAGTGCTTTGGTTGTTGTATTTCATCACAGCAACAGAAAAGCAAATTAGAACACTTGAGTACCTGAATTTGATCCCTGGATCACAAAACAGCTTCCAAAATTGTCCTCTGACCTCCACAGGTGCACCCCACCCCACATTACACATACACATCACACACAATAGTGATAATAAAAATAACATAAATAAAAAATAAAATGGGCTAAATGATCCAAAAAAGACTATTCCAAATAGGGAAATATAATAGCTTCAACTTTAGCAATTATCTAACAATATTCATTCACCACTTTTGAAATATTGGATGGAAACAAAGAAAAAATGAATCCCACATTTGGGTTAATGCTAGGGTGGAGAAAAGGAGACCACAGCTTTCTGGAGACCCAGAAATCGGGGGCAGGAATTAGAAACCAGAAGTGACCCTGAGAACTGAAATAAATGCCTCAGAAGTTTTCAGAAAACTTTGGGTGAATTGTGGACTTTTTGTGGAACTTGATGAATAATTGGGTTACATATTGATCTTGTGGGACAAGATGACTTAATTTGGTAAAATGCAAATAATAGGGTTAGTGAGATGGCTCAGTGGGTAAAAGTTCTTGCCCTGCCCTGTATTCGAAAGTGATTGTGGGCTGCCTGTGCCCTGGTCATTGATACTGCAGGGAGAGGATATGGAAAGCCTTTCCCTGTGTTTGGAGGGTCTACTCCTGTCCTTGACAAGCCTTATTTTTTTTTTAAAAAAAAAAGCTCTTGCCCCAAAAACCCGACGACCTGAGTTTGATCCCTGGGACCCCCATGGTAGAAGGAGAGTACCAATTCTTGCAAATTGTTCTCTGGCATTCATAGGCACACTATAGCACTTACCCCACACATATCACACACACACACACACACACACACACACCGATAATAATAAAAATAAGTAAAAGAAAAAAATTTAAAGAAAATACTGTAACTTGGAGGTGTTTCAAAGATTGAGTAGATACTGCTGATAATGGTCACTAACCTTCCATAAAATCATGTAGGACTGAGGGTTCTGTCATGATGGTTGATCACAAGGATGATGATGAGAGAAACACTGACATCAATAATGTTTTTCTTTCTTTCTTTTTTTTTTCTTTTTGAGATAGGGTCTCCCTACAGCTCCAGCTGGCCTGGAACTTGTTATGTAGACCAGGCTGGCCTCGAACTCACAGAGGTCCACCTGCCTCTGCCTCCCAAGTCCTGGGACTAAAGGCATGCACCAACACACCCAGCTATCAATAATGTTTTTCAAGATAAAGGGTGCATGCATGTAGACATTCAAACAAAGCAGCAGCGTGGTTGCCAAGAGAATGCTTAACCTCAGAATGCTTTTAGATGGATGTATTTAATTGTCTAGAACTATTTATGGTAAATGAACCTGAAGTCTACGGATTTATGTGTCTTGGATCCTTGGAAATATCATGTAAGTTTTAAAACCATCTAAGTGAACTAGGCATGGTGGTGCATGTCTTTAATCCCAGCACTCAGGATGCAGAGGCAGGCAGATCTTTGTGAGATAGAGGCCAGCTTGGTCTACATAGTGAGTTCCTAGCCAAAACATTTAAGTGGAGATGTCTCTTGATTCAGGTGGCTCTTAGTGTATAAGGGCCCTCCTATGAAGGGATCTTAGGAATAGCTTAGTAGGGTCTCTTGAGAATATCCCCTTTTACAATTTCCTTCCTTCCTTCATTCCTTCCTTCCTTCCTCCCTTCCTTCCTTCCTCCTTCCTTCTTCCTTCCTTCCTTCCTTCCTTCCTCTCCTTCCTCCCTCCTTTCTCCTTCCTTTCCTTCTCCCTCCTCCCCTCTCTCCTTCCTTTTCCTTCCTCCTTCCTTCCTTTTTCTGTCCTTCTTTGCTTCCTTCCCTTTCTCTCTCCTTCCTTCCTCTTCTTTTCCTTCCCTTTTCCCCTTCCCCTTCCCCTTCCCTTCCCTGTGCTGGGAATCAAACCTAAGACCTCACAAGTACTTGGCAAATGCTCTCAACAGAGTTATAGCCCCAGATTCTTTTGACAATTTCTTTGTCAGATGGAGGAAAGGCAGAACAGATGGACTGGCTCAGGAAAGAAGCCGACACATAATCACACTTCAAGAATGAGCTTTATTGGGATAAAGGGCTTTGAGACCATGGGAGCCATTAGTTGGGCCTTGAGGCATGAGAGCATTAAAAAGGAACAGTACTTTATGTCAGAGACAATGTGATGGGGCCTTAAAGGAAAGAAGAGGTGTCCCTTTAAAACTCAGAGAGGAGCTTCATTAAGAGGGCTAGCTTAGGAGCTGGAGAGAGGGCTCGTTCGTTAAGAATGTTTACTGTTCTTGCGGAGGACACAAGTTCAGTTCCCAGCACCTCCATACAGCTCATAATCACCTGCATCTCCAGTTCCAGGGAATCCTGTGCCCTTTTCTGACTTCTATGAGCTCCTGCTGCATGTAGTACAAATAAACTCACATAGACACACACACACACACACACACACACACACACACACACACACATAAAAATAATAGATCGCTGGGCATGGTGGCGCACGCCTTTAATCCCAGCACTTGGGAGGCAGAGGCAGGTGGATCTCTGTGAGTTCGAGGCCAGCCTGGTCTACATAAAAAAAAAAAAAAAAGATCAATGAATTTTTTTTTAAAGAAAGATATCTTAAAATAAGAGACATAGCCTTCATGAACAGGATGATGGGAAGAGAACTGAACAAAGGAAAATATCTGATGTTTACATATATTTTCAGGGGGTGTCAGGAAGTTCCACACTGAGTGACTTAGTCTGAGATAGCCTACATGACAAAGAGCCCAGAAGAGTCACATACTGGGTAGGACCATAAATTAGGACCTGTAAAAACCACAGCACAGAATAGCTTCTTAGAGAGAGAGAGAGAGAGAGAGAGAGAGCCCTGAGGGATGGGGTGGGTTTGGCCTGACTTCTTCAGGCTGTGGGCTCTGTCCTCTTAGACTGATGCTTCATGAAGAAGCAGGCCCATGCTCTAATAGTCTTCCTCCAACTTGTAGACTCTGCAAACACCCCTCTTGCTAGGTGCAAGTAACTCGTGGTAGCCTGGTGGCCTTCCCATCTGTTTTGCTGAGGTGAGGTAAAGTTCAAGGCCCCAGGTCTAGCTTGGCCCCAGGAGACTCCCTTGGTAGTCTCCAGCTTCATGCTTGGGTGCCTTCCTGACCTACCTCTTGGGAATGGTGCTTTTAGTGCTCCCTGGGAAGCCTCGAGGTGTGATGCAAACTACACGGACTCATGCTTCAGAGTTGTTGACTACTTTACTGTTTCATCTTATCCTTTTTTTTTTTTTTTTTTTTTTTGGTCCTTTTGAGACAGGATCTCCCTGTAGCCCCAGCTGGCCTGGAATTGAACTCACTATGTAGACCAGGCTGGCCTCGAACTCAGAGATCCTCCTGTCTCTGCCTCCCAAGTGCTGGAATTAAAGGCATGCACCACCACGCTCAGCTCTAAGGTTATTCTTTTTTAAGATTTATATTTATTTGTCTGTGTGTGTGTGTGTGTGTGTCTGTGTGTGTGTGTGTGTGTCTGTGCATGTGTCTACCATATGGGTGCAGGTGCCTGCAGCACCAGAAGAGGGCATTGGATCCCCTGGAGCTGGAGTTACATGTGGCTATGAGCACCTGGACATGGGTGCTGAGAATCGAACTCAGATCCTCTAAAAGAGTAGCAAGGACTCAACTGCTAAGCCATCTCTCTAGCCCCATTGCCTCGGGTTCTAAGGATGGCTGAGCACCTGATACCCGATGCTAAACAGATGAGACTGACAGCAGTTTATTAGTTGAAGATGCCACACACTGTGCTGGGCCACCCAGGGGCTGCATTAGAAAGCAAATTATGCTGAAGGAGGAGAGGCTGTGAGAGGCAGGCTTTGTAGTCACAGGAGGGTGGGGTGATGCCTGGTTCCAGTGGGAGGGTGTGGTTGGCTTGTTTGAATAATTTCCTAGTCTGGCAGAGAACTGAAGTCTGCTACTCAGGGATAAACAGGAACTGTGCTTGGTCTTCATGATAAGGAGAGATATTTGGGTGGGAAATCGCATCCTCGGGAAGCACAGTGGGATGGAGTCTGAGGTGAAACCACTGGAGGCACCATATGTCTTGATTCTGGGAAAATAATTTAAGCACTATATCTTGTATCCTTGTTTGTGAGGTAGAGATGATGAAGATGATGATAAAATCTATAAAGTTCTTGCTACTGTTAAATTCAGGGTCCTAGAACACTACAAACAAAACACAGTGAAGTTATTGATTAAGCTTCGGTTTGTGATTCTTTTTCTTCATTACTTGGGTGACAATCAGGAAAGAAAGTAATCTGGTGAAATCTCATGGTAAACTCATCGATGACAGACCTTCTGACAAACAAACCCATGATATTACTGGCAAAAAAATGCGTCACCTTAGAGTGCTTTCAGCAGGACGCCTGGTTGTCTAGGACTAATTATGGTAAATCAATCTATTACCTATGGATTTATGTGGCATGGATCCTTGGAAATATCTAAGCTTTAAAATTATTTATTTGTTTATTTTTATGTGTATGAGTGTTTTGCCTGCATGTATGTAAGTACAACCATGTCATACAATGCCGACAGAGGCAAGAAGAGGGTATTGGGTCCCCAGAACTAGAGTCACACACTTTTGTCAGCTGCCACATGGGTGCTGGGAGCTGAACCCCAGGTCTCTGCAAGAGCAGTCATTGCTCTTAACGGATGAACCATCTCTCCAGCCTTCATGTGTGGGGTTTTTTTTTTTTTTTTGGTTTTTTTGAGACAGGGTCTCCCTATAGCCCCAGCTGTCCTGGAACTTGCTATGTAGACCAGGCTGGCCTTGAACTCACAGAGATCCCGAGTGCTGGGATTAAAGGCGTGCACCACCACCCCCAGCTCATGTGTGTTTTAAAAGCATCTAAATATAAAATATGATGTCTCATGATTTCAGTGGCTGTGCTGTGTGGAGATGTTGTCCCAGGTCACTTCCCTCAGGGACCTCAAATGTTCGTGGGGACAGTGGATCATCTATAAGTTGCTAACTAAAGAAACAGGAAAAATAAGAGACAAAAAATTCCCTCATAAACAATAACCTTACTGTACTCATGCAGATAAGATGCTGCATTCAAGAACAAAGCTGGGTGTAGGGGTGTGAACCTGTTGTCTGAGCTCATCTGGGAGCTAGAAGTAGAAGGATCATTTAAGCCCAGAAGTTTCAAAGCAGCCTGACTTTGTCTTTTAAAAGAATGTAGATGAGTGAATGAGGTTTTGTCTTAAAAGTAATAATTTAGGGCATGATGTTTCAAGACAAAAAAAGAAAAGGGAATAGTAGGAGATGGGCATGGTGGTACACACCTATAATCCTAGCACTCAGGAAGTTAGCCTGGAGGATGACAAGTCTGAGGCCATCCTGGGCTACACAGCAAGATCCTGTCTCTTAAAGCAAAGCGCACAAGGAGGGGCGTTCAGAGTACAGAAAAGGATTTCAGAAACCAAAACATAATGGAAACGAAAGGCTCAACAGATGGGTTAGAAAATCGTGTTGGGAAGATTTCCCAGAGAAGACAGCAGAATGACAAAGAGATAGAAAATAAGTGGGGGGGGAGGAATTATAGAACTATGTGGAAAACGCAACGTTAAAAAAAAAAACCTAGAAATCTGGGCATTACTATTCTGGCGTATGTTAGTTCTGCTCTCAGTATTCATTTATTTCATCTTTTATTTT